AGCCAATAAATTAGTGCAAGTGTCAAATCACTAGCAGTTGACATATTAATACTACCAATCAGTAAAGAAATCAAAGCTTTTATAAAGACTATCAAAATCATATCAATGCAAAAGTGTACACTTACTATCTAGGTATTTTATATCAGTATCAAATTAGTATCTTACATGCTCAATATGTCACATTCTTAATATTAGTATAGTGAATCAGTTGTATCAAATGATATTAGTGTCTATATTAGTAGCAGTACTAGTATAGTGGTAGGAGTAATAAAAAAATTAAAAAAAAAATAAATCTATACAGTACCAATAAATCTATTTATTAATAAAAAATAATGCCTCAATAATATGCATTTCAATATTTACACTAAACAAGTAAGAAGATTTGGTTATTACGGTATTTTTTAACAATCAGTAATAGATAATCGATAATTGTTGACTCAGTAAACAGAGTCGTCACTCTTTGTTTGTTAATATAATAATAACTTTTTTATAAATTTTAATTAGTATCACGTGAATCAGTATAGGATAACACTTAACCATAATATTTAAAAGAAAGCTCATCGACCCACCATCTTGTACAGTTCAATCTGTCTCCAACCAACTAGTTAACCCATCTTTGCTTATCTTTTACCTTTTAATTTATAATGTATTATAATTATGATACCGCTGAATCTAAATTTTAAGAATTATTTTTTTATCTATAATTTATACAATCAGAACTATTTAATTTCTTTTATCAATCTAAATAGCAATAAAAATTAAATTATCAATCAAAATATTAATATATAATGTTGAATTTCCCAGTCAGCCATACCTTTCCACATGGGCAACACGTAATTGGCCAGTAAATCATTGGCGTCTAATTAGATAACACGAGATTAGCCGCGACTATCAGATATTTAATCAGATGACTATACTTAATAACGGCTCAATATCGAGGGATCCAATCGAAGTTGTTGATCAAAATACAGCATTGATTATATCTTCCACCTCCCTCTCATTCCCGTAGCTGTTAAGGCATTTCAATGTGATCCGAGGGAAGGATCCTGCCGGTGAAACCTCACCAAAATTTGCAGGGAGCATCAGGATAATGAAAACCTTCAATCCAACGTTAGAAATCTGTTGGCATGAAGGTTTCCTTCACACTTGACCAGACTACCCAACTAGAGAGCCTAGGAATAGATTCTTAATGTATAGAAAACCCCAATGAATAAGTTTTTCTTTTGAGAAGCTTCAGGGAGGGATGGCAAACACTTCTCCTTCAGACACCGAAGCAAGAGGATCACCAGAGGTAGGACTTCGACAGGGACGTGGATGGGTTTCATTATAGCTTGTTGGAACTGATGGCCAGAGAGGGCTGGGAAGCTGGGGGAATGGAGAGGAACACTCAGGAGGCTCTAGGGATTGATTTCAAAATGTTGGAAGTGAATGAGACCCTCTAGTTTAAAGTAGTCTATTCAAGTGGTGGTTGCGGGTTCGGACGGCCATAATGGCTTGGGAAAGCCACTATATGGTCACATTCTAGAAGGGGATATATCTCCAGGGTCTCACGAGCTCCATCCCTGAAAATCAGGGCTTGGAAGGCTTTGGAGGAGGCCCAAGGATGAGGGACCACCGGAGCTCTAATCTGATTGCTCTAGCAACCACCGGCCACTGGCTGGGTCAGGATGAGGTGGAAAGCTTGTTGGAGGTTGGGTGACCTCAATGGTGAGCTTAATTGGAAAGGAGGCATCTTAATTGATGGAAAAAAGCTTGGTTTGACCCAAACCTGTACTGTTTGGGTTAGTTTGGGTGTAACCTGGTCAAGCCAGGACCTGAGCTTGATGGGGAGGTTGGTTAGATCATGGTGAGCCCAACTATGGATTGAATAGGCCATGAGATAGCCTAATTCCCCAACATGGCTTTGGTTGACCCATTTTTAGGAAGATTTGGGTACATTTGGGTCGGACCCTAGTCAATCTAGATCATGAGATTTATGTGGGAAGTGCATGGGGTCCAATACAAGTGTTAATTAGGTATGGTATGGTCTGTGGTGGAAGATGGCTCGGGTCAAAGTAGTTTTGACCACTTTGGGTTTGATTATCCATAATGTATTTCAATGAAGGCATAGGATAGCACAACATCATCTAATCTAGCCATAGAGGGGAGGGTAAGTAGTCCTCAAATCAAGAGGGTAGAATATGTGTATTGTTAGTATCATAACATGGGATTAAACACCACGATATCAAAATAATATTTTATGAGTTTGAAATATGTATAGTCCATTTTCAAGTGCTAAATCTTATGTTTGATTTCAATTTTAATTTTATATATAATAGAATGACCTTTTCCCCATAAGTTTATTAGGATAGTGATAAAAGTTTTAATAAATATCTCAAACACAAGACACACATGTTTACATGTTTCAATGAGATTCACCTACATCCATGGCTCCGTAATGATCAAATCTTTGACTAAGCTTCAAAAGATACATCAAAAGAGTACACTTCATATGAATATAGATCAAGATATCACTGTAAATGCATTAATGATTGATATGGCACAATCATTTATTGTGAATACGTTGGTTAGATGTGACTATTAAAAAAATATTGATGTTGCTTTTCTTTTTCCCTTCTCTTTGCTACAAGAGCTTATTCGTATCTTTGCTTTTTTCCTTTTCTTCTCTTTATTTATTTGTGATTGTGAGATGCTTTATAATTAATAAAATTTTGACTCCTCACTTAACAATATCGCACTAAGATTATGAATTTTTAGTATACTAGCCTAACGATCTTTGTTGAAAACCCTTGCGCGACATCTCCACATTGTTTACCTCTTTTGTGAGTATATCAATGAAATTTTGCTCCTTTAATTTTGATGAGCTACAAGACTTTGGCTTAAAACTAGTTGTCCTTGAAGGGTTGCCTAAGTTGTATATTATTTGTTAGGGAATGAAAGACAACATTCTTTTCTAAGTTAAGCACTTTGAATATCACAAAAGAGCCTGAATCCTTCTTTGGATCGATTTATTTCTTCTAAAAAAAATTAGTCAAGCCATCTCTTTATTGTCTTTAGTTATTTATAGTGAGACTATCTTCTAAAGTTGTGATAACTAAGTGATGGTGATTCCATCCAATGTGTAGGTGTACTCAATTATACTTCTTCATGTATTCAGTTCTCCTCTTATATATGAATCAATGTAACCCTCTGATTTAAATATGTTATATTAAACTTTTGATAATGGTTGATCATACCATTTAAATATCATTCATTTTATAGCTTCCTAATGTTCTTTTCGCATATTGGGCATGCATCTCCAATTTACCACCGCTACTTGTGAAATATACAATCTTATATAATTTATTGCATATGTAAGAGACCCAACAACTAACATATGGGAGACATTATGTAACACCTTTTGAATATGTTCACGATTTCACCTATTCTGACACAGTCTAGCAAAGATAACTCGCTAAATTCATGCATTTATCACCTCTTGCATGTGAGTGAGTGTTTGAATCTGGTTTGAAGCATGTCTCGGGGTTTTATGAGCTTGTTTGAATAATCTGAATTTTTTTTTCTTAGGGTGTTGTAGCATTGGGTTTGTCAACGTCATGGCTTTGAGCTCTCAATCTTTTAGCTAAATTAATTTGGGTGTTATAATATTGGTGAGAAAATTAAAATTTCAAACTAATGTTCTTAATAATCCCCGGTAATCTGATGACATTTTAAAATTGTAAAATTCTTTCATTAGTAAATTATGTTGCCTACCAATAAAACTTCTTTCAAAATTTGAAATTGGTTTACTTTATTTCCTTCTTGCAATGCTATGCAATAAATGTGATATTCTTAGGAGAGATGATGTGCAGTAGAATTTATGTTCTTGCACTAAATGCACATGAGTCATAAGAGTCTGAATTTTTTAATATCAAATATATGTTAGGCATTGAGTCATAAAAGACTATTTTCTAATATGTCAACACAAGAAGTTATAATGGCTTGAATTATGATATATAATTTTGATGGGAGGTATAAGGATTTAAAAAAAATATATTATTTTTTATTGTGATATATGAAGTTCTTATTTATTTACTTTCAATGCATAATCTACTTTATTTCAACTAATTGCAACTAATTTCATATTAAGTATAATATATTTCTTTTTAACTACTTTTACATTCAATTAAATATAAAATAAATAAAATATTGAAATTTCAAGTCAGTGTGTTTGACCTGTTGGGTTATGTTGACTCAAACTAATTTTTCCTTCTAATTCAGAAGAATCCATTCAGTAGCTGAGCATTCAGGATTTGATCTATCTGAGTCTGTACATATACTTTTTTTTTTTGTATAATCATGATTAGTCATTCTACTTCTTTGTTTTGGTCTATATATCTATTGTACTGTAGTTTAAATGCAACATATATATATATATTGAGGATAAATGAAAAAAAATAATGGGCGAGTATATTGCATGAATACAAGAGACCTTCCTAATAATATCCTCATCAACATTGCGTCAACATAATTTTGAGAAGCGAAGTATCACAATAACACTGCTGTCTTTCTTCGTTGTGGCTGCAAGCCCCATCCACATGCAAGCACAGAGTCTTATATATATATATATAGATTCAATGAAAAAAATGTTACATTTGCACTTAATATCTCCGTTTCAAATTTATTGAACTGCCCAGGTGAGTATCAGCAACTTTCCGATTTCAACAACTGTAACAACCATCTGTTGACAAAGTCTGCATTTGAAATAATTCACTCCAAAGAAAACCTCCAGCAGCATCACTCAAATCTAAATCAGTAATACCCAGTTCACTTCAACAAGTTCAATCCACCACAGACGACGTTTGGATTTAACTTCGAAAGATAAAGCGCTTATGATTAAAACAGCTTTCATATTAGGCTAGAATAAAAAACAAGCAACTACAGATAGTGTGATTGAATAGTTAGAACTTGGAATGGAAAAGGTTGAAGCACGGTGGGAATAAGAACTCACAGCAAGCATCTAAAGAAGAAGAATTTTCAACTAAGTTTAAAGCTGCAACCATTATTTCTGCAATCCTTAACGAGATAGCGATACCCTTCGAATGATTGAATGCCTAATATAAAACTGCATAATAAAATCAAACACGACCGAAAAAACAAAAAGGTAGGCTAAGTACATTTATCACCATGTAAAGGAAATAAAAGTTACCCTATAAAGAGGACAGACTATACATGATAATAACCCGTATAAAAAGTTCAGGGGGTTATTATTTTAAATTCACTGATCTATTGCTTTACAGTAAAGGCCCCTCGTTTGTCACTGTATTGGCAGATCTCATCTCTCCAACCTCAAGTTTTCACAGATATGGCCGAGCTCAGGCCTAGCTTCCATCCAGGTTGCAAATCTTGTTTCATGTGGAGATGCACAGTATAGGTAGGAGCGAAAGGTGATTAGGAAAAAGTATCTTCTGCAACATAAAATAAGAATAACGAACAGTTATTGCGCTTTCATTTTATGGTAAAATAGATTCTAGCAACTTAAAAAGATGATCATACTAAAAGTACTTGTTTAGATGTGTTTTGAAAATTCAAAACCGTAGAAAGAGCACACTGAATAATTAAGGACCAGATCCAAGAACAATACTGCAGGGAAATTTTTGTAATCATTATTAGTCACTAATATCAAAGAAAATGTTAGAGTGTCATGTACTCTTCCTTGAAAAATGAAAGAAAAACGAGAAATGATAGACAACATTTGATGCTATGAAAATGCTTTACTTTGTAAACGAGGCAAACTAAACCTATTTTTGATGCCTATGCTAAAGAATACATTGGCAGAGTCTTCATCTAACTTGGACCCAAGAAGAATTGCTCACTCGAAGGGTTAAGATTAAGCAAGAGGTGATCAATATCATCATCGATATTGATAGCCAAAAAAACTTTTTAAATATTAGAGCTGCAAAAACCTCATTCTACCCCTTATCCACATTGGATAGAAAAGGAAATGTCAATCTTGATTGAAGTTTGCAATCACCAAGAACTAAATTGACAAGATGTTATACGAGGTTGTTCAACTTGATATCTATCAAGTTATCCTTGGTGCATGATATGTATAGAAGGTTGTATTGTCATCCTAACCAATATCAAATGATCAAAACAATATGAAGAACTTGATGATAAAAGGATTATGCCATACCAACAACAGTTGTCATGACAGTGGGCCAAGCAAATAAACTTACAAATGCTATCTAAATATTTTTAATTATGTTATCAAGCCCTTCAAAAAGGAAGTGTAAAAAACGAAAAAAAAAAGTCGATCATAAGCGTCGCACGCCTTTCGATGCACTGCGATGAAATTAGGTGCATTTTTTAAGTTGTAGAAATTTGACGCAATCAATTTTACAAAATTCTACGCGGAATTTCGAGCGAATTGATAAAGAATATAGGGCAAATTTGCATAGTTTTGGAATTAAAATTCATTAAAGATTATTTAAGAGAAAATGACTTAAATAGCCCTTCTAAGTCTTCATGAAGCAAATGCATGCAAGAGTAGATTGGACATTTGGTGTTTCCCACCGCCTAAATGAATTAAAGGGATCAAACCATTCAGTCTCTTCTCATTCCACTCCATTTCCGTTGTCCAAACACATGAAAGGATAAAAGGGGCGGCAACAAGGGGAATTTGGATGGCGACGGTGGCAGTTTCCGGCGTCCTTTTTGGAGGAAAGTGAAGAGGAAGTTTTAGAAAGGAAGAAGGGTAAGTTTCTAAACCTAGGAATCTTCATTTTCACATAGATTTCTTTAGGAGAAATTTCTAGGGTTTCTCGAAAACTTGGAAAATTTTTAGTAGAATGATTAGGAAGGTCAGAGGAAGGATTTTAGCCATGAAATGAAATGTTTTCCAAAATTTTTCTTAGATTTTGAAAATTAGGGTTTTTCATATTGTTGGATTTCTAAGAAAATTTCTTAACGAATATTGTTTCAAATGATCTTAGGAAGGTTTTTAATGGTAGAAATTAAGAGTTTTCACAAAAATATCATTTTCCTAATTTTTAATTTAAAATAATCTGAAAATAGATATTCCCTAAATATTAATTAGATAATGAGGATGTTTTGGCATGAAAATAATGAGACTTATGTTTCCAAAATTAGGGTTTTAGAGCAAACCGAAAATCAAAAGTATTTTAAATTGAGTTAGGCAAATTGAATGAATTAGAAATGGTGAAATGTGAAAATTTATCAAAATTATGATTTTAAAAATTTAAGGTTTAATATAATCCGAAAATAAAAATTAAATTTCATAGGAAGAAAGATAATATTAAAATAGAAAAGTAAGGATTTATGTTAAGGTAATATGAATGATAATTAATGAAAAGAATCCTAATGTTAAGGATGTTTAATGTCTAATGTTAAGGAGGATAATAGCAATGAAGATTAGTAAGGATTGGAGCATGACTTAGAGCAAATATTTGACAATCATAGTTACATTAATTTTTTTTAGGATTTCGAAGTGGGAGAGGGAAGGCATTAAGGGGGGGGGAGCGATTTCGTACATCTGATTTCAAGGTGAGTACTCATGGTTCTTTATTTGCAGTGATGAAGAACCATAAAGCCATTCACTCTTCAACAATAAAGACAAAGTTTGCCCAAGTACTTGCCAAAAAGCCTCTTGATCTACATTTATGTTTGATCTTCAATGGTGGATCGAAGTTGACCAAGACATAGCAAGAAGCGACAAAGATTCTAAGGGCATTCACAAAATTCAAATGATTGTGAAGTAGCAATTGCAGAAGACCCAACAAAAATACAAGCAGAGGCACGATCATTATCATGTCAAGTCCAACTTCCAAGTAGGGCATATTCTTCGATTTCATTTGGAAAAAGATAAATTCAAGGGAGAAAGCAATAAACTAAAGCTAATTTGGCATAAGCCATTAAGGATCACCAAAAATATTGGTGCTTTTCAATTGGAATTGCTACCTTACATAGAGATGTACTCAATAATAAATACACTCTTTGAACCTTCTATGCTTGATGGAGGGCTTGAGGAAATCATGCACTTCATATATGATCTACAATTGTAGCGAGAAGTACCCTTATACTTGGAGAAGAAAACCATCATCACAAGCTATGGGCCAAAGGTGATGCTCTGAAATGTTAAGAAAGGTTGATTAGCAAGCAAAGCAAAATGCTATTTTTGGGATACTAGGCATACAATTTTCCATTATCCCTTGCTGAAATCCAGCCGCTCCTAGTGCGAAGGATCTGACGGCCATAATGAAGGAACTAATTTAGGAAAGATTGTATTAGGGATTTTATGTATTAACACTGTAATTTATTGTTTCATCATTAATATATCTTGTATAGATCTATAAATAAGGAAGATAATACAGAATAAACGTAACTTTTTCCTCTCAAACTTCCTGATTTCAACATGGTATCAGAGCCAATCGGCCGGCCTTCATTGCTGAATGATCCAAGCTTCTGACGCTGAAAGACGCCGCCGCAGAAGATAGGCCGCCAACCCAATTCCGCCAAATGCAACTGAAGCCCTCGATCCATCAAGGAGTTGTCGTAGACGGAAGCCCCGGTTCCGCCAGTTGCTGTCGTAGACGGAAGCTCCAATTCCACCAGACACGATCATCGAAGGAGCCTAGTCGAACAGCCACGAAGGAGACGAAGGAGTCGTACCCACCGATCCGACATAAAGGGAAGTCGACGAAGGAGCGAAGCCGCAAGCTCGAGCTTCTCCCGCTCGAGTCCCTTCGTGCGTGCCCTAGCTACCTTAAAACAAACCAAGTCTTTTTTAAAGACTTGGCTTGGCCCGGAAGGTTTCTTCTCAAAGAAAAAAAAGGGAAAAAAAATCCTCTTATTTCGACCTTTATTGTCAAACATGAAATTTTATTTTTTGGAAGCCTTCATTGCTACCCACGGACATACAAATAGTCTTAATCACTATCATAATGTCATAAATTAATTCCTCCTATAGCATTAACAAAACTGATGAGTCGATGGTGCACCAAGGACGAGGTGACCTCCAAAGCATGCAAGCTTCCTATCATCTAAATGGGAAGAACTACCTAAAGTGGCTCAATTTGTGAAGATCTACTTGAAGGGGAAAGGGAAAATACATCACCTGCTTGGAGGAGGACCAAAAGGAGATCATAAATTTGGGGCATGGGATGAAGCATACTCCATGATTATGTTATGGTGGTGGAATTCCATGACTCTAAAAATTAGCGATACATTTATGTTCCTTTCCACTGCAAAGGACATATGGGATGCTGCCAGACAGACGTTCTCCAAAGCTCGTGATGTGGCTCAAATTTTTGAAATTAAAGTCAAAGTTGGAAGCAAAAAGCAGGGGAGTAAGAACAAATGCATCTTCTTCACTTGCACTCTCATGTAAGACTCCAATTTCTATTAGTTTAAGCGCGTCTAGAAATCATTTCAATGAATTATGGATCATTGATTTAGGAGCCACATATCACATGACCCACTCACCTACCCACTTCATCAACTATACTCCTTGACCAAACAACAAGAAAATCATCATTGTTGATGGTTCTCTTACCACAATAGCAGGCCAAGGATACATAAGATTATCCCCCTCACTCACCTTGATAAATGTGCTCCACGTACCACAATTATCCACAAGCCTAATATCAATACAAAAACTTACCAATGATCATAACTGTCAAGCCTTATTTAACCCTACTTATTGTTTATTTAAGAACTAGAGACCAGGGAAGAAGATTGGTCTTACAAAGAAGAAAGCAAGATTGTACTACTTGGAAGAACCAAACCAATCTAAAAATAGCTGCTCTATGTTATCCCAAATTGATAAGAATTCCACTATTTTGCTTCATCATTATAGGTTAGAACACCCATCTTTTGATGTCCTAAGACTATCCACAACTTTTTCAGAAATTAAAAAATAAAAAATTTCATTGTGAAACTTGTGAATTGGCTAAACATAAAAGAACCTCCTTCCCAAACAAAAATGAGAGATGTGATACTCCTTTCTACCTTATTCATAGTGATATATGGGGACCCTCAAAAATATCCAATATTTCTGGGGCACGCTGGTTTGTGTCATTCATTGATGATTGCACTAGAGTCTCTTGGATCTATCTCCTTAAAAATAAATCTGATGTTAACACCATTCTTCCCATCTTTCATATCATGATCAAAAACCAATTCATGGTAAAGATAAGGAGATTTCGCTCTGATAATGCTAAAAGCTGTTTCAACCAAACTCTTTCCTCCTACTTCCAAAGTGAAGGGATCATCCATGAGTCCTCCTCTGTTCACACTCCAGAACAAAATGGGGTTACAAAGAGAAAAATTGGTCAACTTCTAGCATCCACCCGAGCTTCCTATTTCACTAAAATACACACAAATCCTATTAAGGGGAAGCCCTTCTAACTGCAACTTATCTTATAAACTGACTACATTCAACAGCCCT